CTCTACTCCCTCATCCAAGTCGTTGATATGCAATGGTATCGTATACTTTCGTATGTTCAACATCCTCTTAAAAATGAGGCTAAAAATCCAGCACAAGCTTTTCACTTAGCATTTGGGACCTTCTTCTCTTCTTTTTTTCAGTTAGTTTCTAAACTAGATATAAGGATAACTATATATGCCCACACCTAACGTATTGCATAAAAAGTTCTCCCAGAAAGATGTAAAACATTCCATCACAACCCCAAGTTTCCATAAATACTACCTTAAGACTGGTTAAGATTAGGTTTGTCACAACTATGTACCCCGGGGGGATGCTAAGGATTTTAGTAAGTACTGCCACTACAGTAAGGTGGAGTTTAGCAGCCATTTCACTTTGGCAGCATTAAGCACATGTGTCCATGTAGACTGCATGAAAACATTGTCTGAACACATCCAACCATTTCTATAGAGTTACTAACTTTGAGTTGCTTATAAAAAATCATATTGAAACATTAGCAATAGAGTTTTCCATCTCAATGCAGGTTTTGGTTTGATTATTCTTAGAGTGATCAAATTCCACAAGACACCTTTTTCCTCCTGCTTTTCTGTACCTTTTCTTTTCTGTTCTAATTAGATGTACTAAGTAAGGGGTTGTTTAGTCTAGAGGAGAGGAGGCTGAGAGGAGACCTTATCAATCTCTACAACTGCCTGAAAGGAGGGTATAGTGAGGTGAGTGCTGGCCTCTTCTCTAAAGTAACGAGTGATAGAACAAGAGGAAACGGCCTCAAGTTGCACCAGGGGAGGTTTAGACTAGATATTAGAAAAAATTTCTTCACTGCAAGAGTGATCAGGGGTTGGAAGAGGCTGCCCAGGAAAGGGGTGGAGTCACCACCCCTGGAGGTGTTCAAGAAACGTGTAGATGTGGTGCTTCCGGACATGGTTTAGTGAGTTAGGTGGTGTGGGTTGACAGTTGGACTTGATGATCCTTGAGGTCTTTTCCAATCTTAATGATTCTATGATTATACCAGACTGAGTGTTCCCTTGTTCCTTCACTGCAGAACATGATGAATGACAGTCCAGCACTCAGTTTATTCAACAACTGTATCTTCAGTTTTCTGTGATCATGCAAATTTGAAAAGTCTCTTTTTAACATGTTTTATCCCTCCTTTAGAGTTAGATATTTTCTGCTTCCCATTTTTAAACTTATTTCTTTTTGTGTTTCCTGTCCTCACCCAAATGATACCTAGAAGATTTTCTTACTTATGGCTATTCTGCAGGAGAAAGGCAAGAAAATAAGGGACACAAAGGGAAGACCTTTTATTCTCCTTTTGCTTATGCTTTCCATAGTTCTAAGAGAAACAGAAGCCCAGCTGTGTGCCAAAGTCAATCTAGAGGTAGGCAGATCTTACAAATACCATTTTGCTCAAGTCACTCCTGCATGGCTCACAATCTCACTGATTAATAGATTTTAACGAAATGGATAACAAAGTAGTGGTGTCCTTCTAAGTGTCACCCTTATCCTTGAACGTCTTCAACTGCAGCTAGTTTGTCTACCCCATTCTAAAAAGATGGGTAATCTCACAGATAAAGCAAGGAAAGCAAAAAGACTGGAAATGCAAGTGTGAGCTGCACAAAATATGCCATCTGTGGATTTAAAATAACTTTATTTAATTCAAGCAGAAAGCTTTTCTTCTTTGCCAGTACCATCCCCTTAACCAGAGCTGATGTGTTCACAGCATGCATACAGAATCAAACATCAAAGTTTCACAGCATATACTGTAACAATTAGTAAGTCATTGACACCTTTGATGCTTGCTTAGACAATTTTAAAACACTTGAGCAGGAGATGTTACTTTACCAGAAATACAGCCACAGCAAGTTTTGTACAAAACTGCTAAAAAATTGCTTAAGAACTACAGCTGAGTCTGCAAGTACATTAATAGATGAGAAAAAGCAGCAGAAAGAAAAGAGTCCAAAAGTCAAGTTATATTTTAAACATTTTTGAGTGAACGGTATAGGAACTTCTGCAAAACAGACAATATTTACATAACAGTTACTTCCATTTACAGTTCATCTGGGTAGTTTTTTGCCTCATAACAACGTTCACACTTCACAACTCCTTGTTTCTGTTCTAGAATAGCACTAAAGTTTTTTCCAAAAACGCCCCTGTTGAGGGATAATTGTACCTTTTTTAAGTGGAACTTCTTCCTCAGTAGACTTATTTTCAAAGCAACGCTTTTTTCTCCCTTTCAAAACAGTTTCCTTGAATTGGCTGCTTTCAATCAGTTTGTTAGGGTTCTTTTTCGCAAATTTTCTTTTAGTGGTAGTTTCAGTATTGTCCTGTGTTAAAACAAGATCAATTACTTTGAAGTTTTACAGAGTGAGTGCTTGAAAGGTTTAATAATCTTTTATACGCAAATATTTTTACAAAACTATCTGAATAACACGTATAGTGGTTGTCAGAAGAACAAGTCAGTTACAGATCAGTTACTTAAACCAAGAGCAGGTACACCTTCAGATACTCATTTGCACTGTACAAAAAGCAGAGCAAGACTAAGAAGCTACAAAATGAAAGACTTGCACATAAGCAGAGTTTGTTTACCATGTGAAAGCTATCTCAAAAGAGCTGACAAAATTCCTGATTTGTTCAAAGGGCAAATGGTCAGCTCCATAAGTTTTTCACTTTGTCACAGTTGGTAGCATTGGGAGTTTTAGCTGCCTTCAGCAAAGCCACAGATCATTTTTATAATGACATATCTGATGCAATTTGAAAGCCTAGTCAGTTCTGTCATACATACTTTAGACTATATATTTGACTAAGAATAAAGTTTTTTTTACTTGCAAGATGATCTAAGTGGCAAGCCACGTTGGTTGCCAAGGACCAATTACTCATCTTTAAGTACTTCATTTAAAAAAATCATCTATAGAACAGACTTGAGGTTTGTGGTCATGTTTTAAGTTTCATGTCACACAGTCTCATAGAAACACAGGACAGAGTTGGAGTCTTGCTCTTGGAAGGAGTAGTAATTGGAAGCAGTCATCACAACTCTTATCACTCTCAGAGCATTCATACTATTGAAAAGTGAAGTTGCTATGGGCCAGAGAGAGGAAATAGAAGATTAGGTATGGTCAAAGTTTACAGTGGAAGAGAGAAATGGATCAGAGCGATGACTAAGTTTCATTTAAAATATTCTCAGAACTACTTCAGGTTACTGGACATCAGGCTCAAAAAAACCCACAAACTTAAAGGCAGGTTTTGATTTTTTAACCTTTATACATTTAGCCAAAATAATCTTTTGGCATCCAGCAACTAGCAGTAGACTAGTCAGTTGCAAGTTTTATTTATCACATCAAAAGCAGAGATTCCCCAGCCATCCACTCTTAGTTCAAACTGCTCAATATATTTGCATTATTGCTCCTTCTTTGAAAGCAAGTGTGCACATAGTGGTGGTGGGTGCAACACACCGATTTTTGTTGCAAATTTACACAATCACTATCCTTCTCACAGTAACTTCCAACTTCAGTTAAATTTGACCTTTTGCTGCAGCAATACCTCCTTTCCCTCTTTCATTCAGGCAAAAAATACACAGTGACATAATCCCTCTATTCCCACTACTTAAATCCTCTCAGTTTGAGGTTTTTTTTTTTCCTTTAACATGTCTCTTCAGAGCCACATCTACAGTCCTCCAACAACTTCAGATTACTGCTTCCGAAAGTCCAACTTTTGACACACACCCCTGTACACATTTTGCTGTAACTTTAGTTTCAATGCCAAGTTCACCTGCTTCCGTTCAAGCAAGTAACAATTACTTACAGAAAATTTCAGTTTTCCAAAATAAAGTCTCTTAAAAGCATAGATTTAGAAGGTTTTGTTTAAAGAAAATTGAGATGCTTAAGACTTACACAGTCTTTTCCAGTTTCTTCTAAATGGGCTGTCAAATCCTGTAGTCTCATAATAACATAATCTTTTTGCTTCACAGTGTCCATTAGTTCTTGAATTCTTTTATTCTGTTTATTAATTTTCTTAGAAAATAATAAATATTAATTTTTCTTAGAAAATAAAACATGCACTTAGAAGCGAGATCAGTTTAAAGTAGTTCAGTCATCAGTGTTAAATTGTTAAACAATAACATGCACTTAGAAGCGAGATCAGTTTAAGCTAGGCTTGATATAAAATATGTATATGCTATAAATAATATATGATATAAAATATAGTAAGCTAGAAGCATACTATAATAGCATTTTAAGCTACTGGAATTTTGTATTAAAGCAAATAATTTTGCACAAGTTTTGTTGAGAAAGTTACCTCAGTTGCTTCTCTAAGCTGCTCAGCAGACTCATCCAATTTAATCTTCTGCATGTCAAAGTCTGTAACAGGAAAATAAGCCTACATCAAATAAACAGCCACTACGTAGTTTACTCAGTAATCTATTTTTCCAGATCTTCTGGTACCTCAGTAGCTTTTGAATAGAATGATTTATTTTCATGTTGACTTTAGACTAAAAGTGTTTCATGTTGACTTTAGACTAAACATTTCAAAAGTTGTTTAGGTTTTTTGAATAAGAGGATTGGGCCTTGCAATTTGTATAAAATATAGATCATGTCAAGACATTTCTGCTGAAGTTGCATTATGAGGTATTGCTACTTTTTCCTCTATGAGCGTTCCAGAGTATACCTGAAAACACTGCATCAGCAAAATGTTAAGTATGGGAATTATAACATAACCATGGAATCAAGAATCAGTGTTGACTTTTACCCCATAATTCAGGAGTCTGCAATTGACAGTTTTAAGTTTTGCCTTAAAAATGAAATAACCAAGGCCCGTAGAATTGTTTAACCTGAAGACACACAGAACAATTGGTTCCCACCTCTATATGCATGATTTGGTTCCAAAATCCTGCTCAACTAGATTATTGTTTGTATCTTACAGTAGTCAGCCATTTCTTTTTTTCCCTTTCACATCACACTTACACCCAGCTCACCTTTGGTTTTCTGTGCCAGCTCTTCTTCAGTTCTGATTAGGTCATTGGTTTTCTTTGTGAGCTCTTCTTTGGTCTTAGTTAGTTCAGTGGTAGTTTTTCCCAGGTGTTTTTCAAGGTGAATTATAGCTTCCCATTGGTCCTCCGATGACATATTTCTGTGTGCTGCTTCTGCCTGCTTTTTGATTTCAATGACATTCTGCACAGAATCAATAATGCCCTCAAGATCAACACAAGTGCCTAGCCCTCTACTGTAGTCTTTATTCTGAAAGAAAACTTATATCCATTTAGAAATAGCAGATAATTACACAATAGCCATTATTTCTACAGAAAATTTGGAAGACCATTATGAATTAAAACATATAAGCACAGTTAATTCTGGCTTCAAAGCTATCTTATGGGTTCATGTGCAATTTGCTTACCAGTTTCCATCTAACTTCACACACAGGTCTCCAGTACAGCTGGAGTAACAGCTACTTTATTTTCATAGCATTTAATGACCCACTATCACATTCCCTTTTATATCACCACAAAAGCATCACCTCCAAATTTAACATAAAAGCTATATTTTTTTATTCAATGAGAACATTGAAGGAATACATCTGAAATTTTAATAGACAAGTAAAAATTTGTGAGGTGAAATATGTTTGTGGTAACCTATCAAATTAAGTTGTATTCAAAACATTGACTTTATATCTTTCCTCTGTTTTTTAAAACAAAGGGTTCCAAATTCAGAACAGCCAGATGCAAGTTAAGAGTCTATTTATGGCTTAAGTATATAGACAGTTCTCTTTGCTTCAGTTGTAGCTACAATAGCCTTAAGAGGGAAAAAGTCTCTGGGACCACTCCAATACAGTCCATATATGAAACTTAAGAAGTCAGCTTCAAATACTTTAAACAAGCAATTAATGCAATAGAGTTTATACCATAATTGCAGCTTTTCCCTTAATTTCTTTGTGTACAGTAATTTTTACTTTGTGTTGCAGAAATGCAGAAAGACCCAAAGATTTCTAAATGCATATCCAAGGCTCAGCAACTACTATTAAATTGGACAAAAATATCTTGCTGAGGACACAGTTACACAGTACGGAATTCCTTTAAACCATCCTTGTAGTCCTTCAGACATACAATCACAGCAACAGGTAGGTAAAGAGATGTTATGAGGGGGCTGGGAAGGGGAAACACAGCAAAAATACCAGAGATTGAGCTTGTTCACTGCAAGGCTGATCCTTTAATCTATTGTCTTCATCTGCATCTTCAGCATAACTATTTACGGGCTCCTTGAAGACTTCCAGGCGTCTTTCTGAATTTTCTTCCAACCTCTCTTGTTTCTGAGAAAAGTAGTCTCTATAGTAGGAAAAGTAAGTCAGCTACAAGCTAGCCAGCACAAGCTGCTAAGAAGTTATTAGTATAACTGCCTATAAACAACCATTTTTTTTTCTTTATTTTGATACAACAGAATAATACACAAAACATCATTGCCACACCAAAATAGAAGTGTATTTCCCACACACACACTCCTGAAGAATGAGGGAGAAACAAGTACATACACAGGTTACGGATACCACTTAGCTACAAGAATTTTTTTATAAGTTTCTTGAGTCAGAATACCTGTTTGGAATATCACTAAGACTACAATAAACAAAGAATTTGCAAGTGTAACTCTTTCTATATACATCCTATCAAAAAAGCTCTTCTCTTAGGAAGAGCTCTACAGGAACAAATACTGCTTACAGATTACACAAACCCCACCTACCCATCCCCCCAGACTCAAAGCCTTTCCTACACAGTTTTTTTTCCCTGAACTCATAGGCCAAACAGAAACTGATCTATTAACAGAAGAAGTAAGTCTAACAGAAGAAGGTACTCTTTTATGGCCAAGCAACAGATTAAGAAATAAGCAAATTCACTTTGATTTTTTTAACTAGTAACTTTAAAACCACTTAAAGCTAACTTACTTGAAATCTGTTTC